TATACTATTACCCCAGCAGACCTGAGAGCATTCTGAAACAAACTCAACTTCCTGGGAAGCATAAAGTGCAAGCAGCCATTCAAAGGCGCTAAGACACTTACATACTGACAAGACCTTTCGTTGTCTAAAATAAATGAATGAATGAAAAAATAAATAAATGAATAAATCAATTTAAAAAAATAAAAAATTATCATACCGTCCTCATCACCTTTCTAGGAAGTTCCGTCGCGCTCTGCTGTGGCTGTGCTGTGACCGGAGACGTCGTAGTGCCCGGCTGGATGATTGGAAGGACCTGGTCAACAACAGACATCCCATCAGGTACTTACAGACAGACAGACAGACAGACAATCAGACAGACAGACAGACAGACAGATAGACTAACTGTTAGTTTAGTTTTAGTAATAGTTTTACAGTACTTGCAACACAATTAGTTCATTTAAGTGCCAAAGATTACAGTTGTTTCTATGGACTAATATAAAAGAATAGGAGAAAGATTAGTATGATGGGTGTTTGATAGAAAAGAAGGCGCAAACCACACAAGAGCACCGGCCAACCACCCAGGTCAATAGATAGATAGATAGATAGATAGATAGATAGATAGATAGATAGATAGATAGATAGATAGATAGATAGATAGATAATATGTCTCGTCAGGTTTTTAGGCATTCTAGAAATATGAGCGAGAGTGTGTCAGTAGTTAACCTATAAAGCGAGATTGGATATTGACCAGTTAAAGGGGGAGTCACAGACCTGACAGTTTGGAATTTGGAGAAAAAGTCCTGTAACCGAGGTATATATAAGGAGGGGCGGGCAGGGAGGGGATTGGGGTGGCACGTAAGCAGGGGCTGGAATGGTGATCCCATTAGGCTGAATTGAAAATGGGACTTTTACTTTGCCCTCCAGTTATCCTCATCGTAAAGAGTTGGAGGGAGGAAAAATGTGAAATGGTATGGGTTTTACCGCCCTTAACGACACTGTTAGGTTATTTAAGAGGCGGTACCTCCGAGTTAAGCATCAATTTCCGGAAATACGTCGCCAAATAGGAAATTCTTGAAAAAGGGATTTCCCAGGGACACAACGTTGGACAGAGCTGAGTCTTGAATTCTCGAACCAGCAACCTAACGATTACGTGTCCTGTAGCCTAGTAACCACTAGGCTACCGACACTCATCGCAAAGGGGGTGGGGGGGGTGAGAAGCCGTCTTCCTGAATCATATTCTAAATTGTGCTGATGGGAGTGTAAAAACACAATAACGTTACGTTCTCTTACGTCTGGGACATATGAGGTGTTAACTATCACGACTTTACAGAAATAATTATGAAAAAGAAGCACAAAAGATCACGACTCAGATCTGAACGCCCACCCTTTTTGATAGTACCCGTCCGGTAAGTGCGGACCAAATAACTGGAGAAAGACTTTTTCCTCACCCGAGGGACCATCGAACTCCGGAAGCAAACCGTCAATTCAAACCCGACACTTATGGGTCCCAAAGGCATAGAACGTGACACATCAGCCCTCACTTGAGCTCGAGGACACAGATCGGTGTTACGTTCTTTCTTGGGGCATCTTGAGTCGTTATAACCTCTGACATAAAGCTGCCACTTCGCTTCCTTAGAATTACAAAATTCTATCTGACATTTGTGGCCGTTTTGAGTAACTAAGACCACGAGGTCAGAAACAAAATATTCTATCTGCTCTATCAAAGTAGTAAGATTATTCAGGGTCGTTACTAAGATATTCTAAGAAGCGCATTCGAAAAAATTTTATCATGATGTATAACACAAAGTTTTTTACGTAAAGTTTCTTAAAACTGAGTTCTGAGCAGATATATCTTTGTAATTCTGAAGTAGTGACTTTACGCTGCGCGCCTTGATTGTCAATATCACCCCC